CAGATGTATCTATGCATGTGGAGGCCCGAAGATAATCTTGACCATTGTTCCACGGGCACTGTCTGTCCATCTTGTTTTGTAAGACAGGGTTGCTAGCTGGCCTAGAGCTCATCAAAAATGCCAGGCTAGCTTGCCAAAGAGCCCAAAGGCTTCCCCCATCCCTGACTCCCCAACACTGGGGCTAGAAGCATGCCACCACATCCTGTTTTTCTTTACATTGGTTCCAGGACTTGAACTCAGGCCCTCTTTACCCACTGGACTGTTGCACCCACAATGATGCCAATTCTTACACTAAAACTCCCTGCACTATGGATTACCCCACAGAGCATAGTGGCCAATCAGACCCCTCCTGGACCATGAATATTTTTCTTACTTCTAAGACTTGACTACCCCCAATCCTGTCACCTGCTGGGCCCTGGGAAGCAGAAATACACTGAGGTGTGGTGATTGCTGCCAGGGCCATTGTTCTTAGACATATCCTTACACTGGCTATGGCGGTGAAGTCCACCTCCCCGCCCAGCTGGTCACCTCTGAAATATGAAATACAAGTACCATCAACAGAGCTGCTTGAGGCTGTAGTAACTATAAAGACTGGTACAATGTGACTGGGATTCTACAAAGAGCAGCAACTACTGACCTCTGCCCGCTCCCCCACGCCCCCCCCACACGTGCACATACAAAAGGAGGTGCTTAGCCTATGGCTTCACTGTTGGTATCTGTACACCAAAGCTTGCCAGAGTTTCTGGGTGCCCTCAGAAAATCAGTGACTCCAGGATCACCCCAAAGCTAGTGCATTAAACTGGACACAGGATTGGGCATGGTGATTCACACATTTGAGGAGAAGTGAGCTGATCTCTGACAGTTCAAAGCCCAACAGAGCTATAAAAAGAGAGAGAGAGAGAGAGAGAGAGAGAGAGAGAAGAAGAAAGAGGAAGAAAGGAAGGAAGGAAGGAAGGAAGGAAGGAAGGAAGGAAGGAAGGAAGGAGAGAGGTAAGTGGGCAAAGCATCCAGCACGACCAGGGTGGAGGACTGAGGCATGTCAGCCTTGATAAAACGTGCCCAGGGTGGCTCTCGGGCCCTGACACCTGTCCTGAGGTGGACCAGAAGCACAATGAGACAGATGTAAGGCCATGTCACCAGGCTTTACAGCAGAGGCCAAGTGAACATTATCATCTACCACATTATGCGTCAGGACACACCCACCCAGAAGAGCTTCCACCCCCGACCCTGCTCATTAAACTGGATAATGTGCATTTCCGAGGTCTTGGGGAACACTAGAGTATGTAAAGCACCTGGGGCAGGGAAATGCCAAGAAGTGTCAACTCTGCCACCTGCCTGCCCGGGCCAGGCCACCATTTGATAAACACACCTCTTTTATCTCTCCAAGTCATGAGATGACTGAACAAGCAGGGCAAAGGACACATGTCCCTGTGTAGACAGGCCACCTACCGCAGCCTTAGTGTGGTTCTGTTATCCGGCTGTCTGCAAATGCAAAAGTGCTGAGTCATCAGCTCTGGGTTGATTCAATGCGCCTGCCCCTCTAGGCACCACAGGAGGCCCACAGTGTGAGTCCTTGAAGGAATGTCACACAGTGCCTGGAAAGCACTGGGTAGGTTCCTAATTCAGTCATTACCATGACAATATGTCAATATTCCTACCTGTCTTTTGTGGTCCTGGGAGCTGTTAAAGTGTGCACTCCACCACTTAGTCACACTGTCTGGCCAATGCTGTTTGTATGGTAGGATTTCACAAATACCCATCCTGGTTTCTGTGAGCAGTTGTCCTCAAGAGATCTGTCACTTACCAAGGGCAGTCCCTCTTACCACCCACCTCTTCTAAATGTGGACAAGAAAGAGACGGGGTGGCCCCTCCATGGCATCCTTGTGCACTGTCTTTGGATCACCCCATCTTCCTTCCCTGTCAGGTCCATGATGTTTTCCTGTTGCCCTGAAAATCTAGAAAACAAACACCAGCTATCTAAGGTTCAAGTGCTGTCCTCCAGCTTGGGAGGGGTGGGGGCAAGTTCTGAACTTTCCAGGAGGGAGGGGCTGTAACAACACCAAGGTATGCATCTGTTAGAATTTTAGGGCTTGCAGCACAAATACTTTGAGCAAAGGGCTTAAATGACCCTCCTTGCCCCTCAGTCACAACCTGTGTTTTATTCACGTTAAATATCTCTTAAGTTTCCAGATTATAATTAATAACTTTCAAGTATTTTGTGTCATGACACGTCTACCACACAGTTATTTTTAATATACTAAAAGAAAATAATCTGAATTTTTTTTTCATAAAGCCCAATAAACACAGGCATACTTGTCAGTTAACTTTTAACTAGATCAACAGACAAACAGTGAGCTTACTATTTAAAAATGTCAGCTTGTCAGGATCTTTGAACTCCAAATAAGAGCCAGAGGAGGGCAGGTCACCAAAGTAGACATGAAGGTCAAACTGAGAGATGAGATAGGACCACAGACAGCCATCCAAAAGGTACATTTTCTCAAAGTCCTTTACCCAAGAGTAGACACCCCATCACTGGAAAGCACTATCCTCAGTGCTGCTGGGAAAATAGCCTTGCCTGTTAAGGTGTATTTGATAGATAAAAAGGGTAAGTCTTGACTGGTAGAGAAAACAGACCTATCATTGTAGAAAACAAAAATCCGAGATGATCCTTGAAGTCAAGGAGATAACGAGAGAAAATCAGAGCTCCTAGCATTTGCTTTGTTTTTCAAGATAGGGTTTCTCTGTGTAGCCCTGGCAGTGATGGATCTGATTCAGTAGACCAGGCTGGCCTCGAACTCACAAAAATCTGCCTGCCTCTGCCTCCTGAGTGCTGGGATTAAACACTTGTACCTGGGTGGTGCACAATCAACCTGCTAATCCAGCTTCAGGGGAATCCAATGTCTCTACAGGCACTGACACTTGTACATAATCCTTACCATGCATGTGCATGAGCAAGCACACACACACACACACACACACACACACACTAAGAAATAATAAATCTTGGACCTGACATGATAATACATGCCTTTAATCACATTACTTGGGAGGCAGAGGCAGGCAAATCTCTCGAGTAGGGGATTTAGGACAGCTGAGCTACACAGTGACACCCTGTCAAAAAAATTATGTATGTCTGTGTGCATGTATGTGCAGGTACTCACAGTGGCCAGAAGAGGGCACTGGTACCCTTGGAGCAGGAATTAAAGGCAGTTGTGAGCTACCTACTGTTGGTGCTGGGAACCAAACTCAGATCTTCTGAAAGAACACTAAATGTTCTGCTTGCTATCTCTCTAACACCTTTTTGTTTGCTTTTGCAGCAGTCTCATGGTGGAGAACAGGCTGGCCTCAAAAGCATGATTCTCCTGCCTCCACTTCTCAAGTACTAGGCATTCAAGCATGTTTCTACACTCGTGAACAGTCTCTAGGTGACCTGTGTTCTACTGGTTTAGTCCCTCAGAACCAGCAGATCTTACACTGAGATTAAGTGAAATGCTCGTTTGCTTCTGTTTCTTGGAGGACAACTGGGCTGGATCCCGTTAGTCCCTTTCTATGCCTTCTTTAACCCACACACAGAGACATATCAATGGTTCAGCTGCTCCAGGTGCTGGGGCTGTAGCTGGGATGGTGGCATGCTTGCCTGGTATACATGGCGCCCAGGGACACTGCAGACAACTGGATGTAGTGGGCGAAGCACGTTTGCACTCCCAGCATTTGGCAGCATGATCACAGGTTTTAAGGCCACCCTTGGCTACCCTGGCCAAGTTGGAAGCCAGGCTGGGCTACTTGAGGCTATGTCAAAACAGAGACTATAACAAACAGAATGGATGTGACCATTAACATACACAGACACTCGGAGTTGAGCAGCAAGGGTTATGAGTGTAAGCTAGTCCCCCACAATGGCTGGCCTCGGGAGTGTCAGCAAGACAACCCAGGCGAGGCAAAACCACCAAGAGCCAGCACCCCACTCCTGCTCCTTCCCCATCTGGAGCTGCTATAGGACTTTGCTTTCAGCCTTGAAACTTACTAGGAAATCAAATGGTGACCAACAAGCAAGTACAGCCTGGCCTACAAATCCCCACCCTTTCCCATTAACAGTGCCATTTCCAGCCTAGCTAGCATACAAGAGACGTTTTTAGCATGCTATGGACAGGACACAGTATCTCTAAAGGGCTAAGAAACCAAGCAAGGTCACTCACTCCACTGGCCAAGGTTTCAGGCTGGAGACGAAGAGCTCAGCAGCTTTCTCAGTAAACATGTATGGACGCCAAACAGGACCCCACGAGGGTCAGGTGTGCACAGCAGACAAGAGCCCTGGAAAGCTAAGCTCCTCAGCTGGCTAGCTGAGCTACCAGGTAGGTATGTGGGTCTGCAGCCTCAGTGGCTGAGGTAGTCAGGGAGTAGCTGGCCCACAGGCAGCATCGAAGATCTCGGCTGCCACACTAACGGGGCAGGCGGCAACTGTAGGCCGGGTGGTGGTCAGTGCACTGTGTCTCTCATGAGAATTTAGGAATCATATCTGTACACTCTCAAACAGCAGAGCAGCCACAAGATGAGGATGCAAACTCAAGAGAAGAGGCAGGGGCATGCAGGCTGCATGCAGGTTACAGAACAAGAGGTCCACTGAGGTCTTCAGCAAGCATCAGGTTCTATCTGAGCATACCAAGGCTCAACCCTGGATACGCCTGCAGAAGACACTGACTGTGGCTAAGCCAAGCAAAGCCCCCCTAATGGGTTGACCCTTCACCTCCTGTTCTGGGACCATGTCACATGGTTCCTTGACTAAATCAGCATAGAAACTTTCCTCTGAAATTCAACACACAGCAATCCATTCTGAAGAGTTGGGCAATGGGCAAGAGGCAGATTCTCAAATGACCTTCCACTGACTTTATTGACAATGGGGAGTTCCACTCAGAATGTCCACCCCGGTCCTCAGGGGTTATAGACATATGTCTCTAGGATGTACATAGTTACTCAGCAACTGTATTTGGTATAATTTCACATTTTTGGTATACAGAAATAGTTTTATTTTCTTAATGCAGCAAGTAGATGTACAATCAATTATTCCCTAGAGTGTGCAATATAAATTATTCACATTAAAAAATTAATGACAGAAAGCCTGATATGCGGGAAATATTAAAAACATACACCTAATTTGAATGTATTGACCACAGACACTGCTAGCTTTATAAATCTGAATAAATACGACATGGCGCAGTGGCTTGAGCACAGATGGGCCTGCTCCAGGCGTAGTGAGAACCCACACTCTCCACTTTGGTCACTGAGATTCCCCGTGCCAGACACGGATCTGATCCGAAGAGCTTCCATCACCACACGGCATCTCGGGCTTTTCCAGCACTACAGGGCGTCTCTGGCTTTGCCTCCTCCTACTCTCCTTTATAGCGAGGGGGCCTTTTCTCTTTAAAAGCAAGAAGACCTTCCAGTCTGTCTTTTGTTGAGATGGTCTAGGAAAGACAAAACACGAAACACTAAAACCTACAAACACAACAGTACATCAAGCATTAACTACGAAAGCCACCAGCAGGTGCTGGCAAGGCCACTTGTCCTTTGAACAAATTTCCTAAGTATGTGGCCAAACTATTTTTAGACAAACATTTTTTTTTCCATTTCGAATACGCTTAAAAAGTGAGACACTTTATTTTCAGAGGTTAAACAAAGGAAAAGCTCAGCATGGGGAGACCCCGGTGCTCCCTCTAGTCCACCAGTTTCAACAGCTGCAAAGAGTCAGTGCACTTGTGTGTCCGTTGAGTTTTGACAGAGGCACAACATCATCTGCTCATCACCAGAGTACACACAGGATGGCTTAGCTGCCCCAAGTATTCCTTGTTCTCCACACAATCATCTCCAATCTGTCAAACACCTCTTCCAGAATGTCACCGGACTGTCTGGGATCACTCAGTACTTTCAGACTGAGCACCACGGATTCAAGGTTCCTTGACCCCATTTTCTTGCTTGAAAGGTCCTATCTTCTGATCACTGTGTAATATTCCACTTCATGAAAGTGGCCACTCACTACTGAAGAACATCTTTTTATTTACTTATTCTTGAGAAAAGGCCTCAGTATGTAGTGGAGGTCAGCTTCAAAGTCCCAAGGTACAGAAGACTAGTCAGTGCCACTAGGCCTGACTAGGAAGGACAGACACTATGCCTGCTTCTAAATTAGTAACTGTGAATAAATCTTAGCTGCAGATTTTTGGGCAGACATGCTTTCACCTTATCTGGGTAAACATCAAAGGACACAGCTGCTGGCCATCATGGTAGAGAGCACTCACGCTCACCTCAAACTGTTGTCTCTCTTGGAGCCAAAGAGCTACTAACGCCCCGGCAGTCATGGTGAGTGCTGGTGTTCACTGTTCTGAGATTTGATCACTCAACACACACTGCATAGTCTTCAGTTTCTAGATGACAGGTACTTCCAGCATGGACTCATGGCTGTTTGCCATCTGCCCATCTACTGCGGCAAGGTGCCTATTGGGATCTCTTGTCCATTCTTTTTTATTTGCTTGTTTGTTTTAGGTGTGAGTGTTCTGTCTGCATGTATGCCCGCATGCCAGAAGAGGGCATCAAATCTCATTACAGATGGTTGTGAGGCATCATGTGGTTGCTGGGAATTGAACTCATGACCTCTGGAAGAGCAACCAGTGCTCTTAACCACTGAACCATCATCTCTCCAGCCCCTCTTGTCCACTCTTAAGTGGGTTTTCACTACCTTACTGTGCAGTCCACAGTTCTGAAGTATCTTGGATGTGAGTCCTTCATCAGACTCAGGTTTTGAAAAGACTGACTTCCAGCTTACCCCTTTCCATCCTTTTAGCAGTGTCAAAAATCCACCCATCTTCTCTCTTGCAGGCTTGCCAAAACCAAGGCCGAACTTCCTCCTGCACCACCTATACATGCTATGGTTGCTCATTTCTCACAGCTCACCACATTTTGTGCAATGGGTAAGGTTGCATGTGCATGGATGCCCATGTGCTCTGTGCTGTTGTCTTCACACTCATCTGCTCTCCACTGAGCAGCTGCTGTCCTCTTGTCAAAGTGTCCATGGCTCGACTTTGTGGGGCTCCCAAGTCAGCCCCTGGACTCCTGTTCTTCCTCCAGCATCATCACAAAGACTGGACACAGGTGACTCTTGGTCTCCTGGATCTATCTGCTGGCCACACTGAGCTATCGGTTTGATATCTTTGAACTCAGAATCAACTTTTTATCCATTAAGTAAGGAGTCAAGATGCTTGCTGTGATTGAATTAAATGCATATCTTGTCTTTGATAGGGAACAAGGGCCCCACTCTGTAGGCTTGGCTGACCTGGAATTCACACAAGCCTCTGTCTCTGGAGTACTGACATAGAGGTGTGCACCTCTACACCCTGCAGGGCTCACTTCTCAATGACACTGAGTCGCTGGCCCTCGAACACAGACATCCAATGATACAGACTGTAGTTTCTGCCACCGTGTTTACTAGTTTTCTAGAGCTTGTGTATACTTTTTAGATGTTTTGGCTACTAAGATAATAGCCATACATTTCCCTTGTTGCTGAAGTCAGGATTAGTGTGACCTTGCTGTAACTTATGAGGAGGGTTTCCATTGCCGGGTAGTTTCGTTCTTACCTTTTCAATGTCGTCTTTCTGCATTAGCATGGCTCCTAACCCAATGCTCAAGGGACAGTGAGAGGGTGCCACCTTGACCCTGATGGGTATGGACCATGTCAGCACAGGGCTTGCTCTGCTCACAGATTGAAAAAGACTTTTGCTTTGGGGGTGGGGGCATGAATATGATCATATAGTTTTCTTTTTCAATGAAGACAGAAGGTTCAGAATCCCAGGAATAGTCAATGAGCCACAAATACCATCAGTATGTGGCAGGGCACCCTGCAAAATCTCAGGAGCAACTTCTTCCAACCAGGGTGTAGCCCGCTGGGGATGGGAATGCACACAGACACAGAATGCCTTGGCATGAATGTAAGTTGGAATGTGCACATTCACTGAACTTGTGACCATGTTACATACCTGAGCATAACAGGCTTCTTCTATTGCTAACCCCGTTACTAAGTCGACCTGAGGATAAAAAAGTATTTTAGCAGAATAAGGAAGATTCGACGTAAACTCAAACCAGATAGCCCCAACCTGAAATAACAGAACCCTTCCACACAGCACAACTGCTCAGAAGTATGTGCAACCTGAAACTTGTGACTAGGCTCCTGAAGTCACAGCCTGACTCCACCATCTGGAGCTATGTAACTGGGGACAGCTATGTGACCTCTCTCTGCTTCAGAGACACATCTCACAAGGTGCCAGCTGCAGTACTCACTAAGTAAGGGTACAGTGAAGGTTAAATGAAGACTTCTGCACATGGACACATGCACATACTAGATTCCAAAGTTTATGAGAATCTGCACTGACCAATGTTCCCCCAGCCCAGGATTCTTCTCCTTTGCAGTCATGTTTCTTTCCAGTGTGATACAAACACACTCACACTAGCCTGGGTTCAGTGCTTCCCCTTGAACACCCAGAGACTCCAGGTAGAAAGCAATACTCTGCATGGTGCTGGGTGGCTCTCCTTGAATTACCAACAGAATGTGGTCTGGCTAAGGAGTCTTTCCCCCGGGACAGGAAAGGACCCCACTAACGCCATATCAAAGAGAACAAGGCTGCCGGGACACTGAAATTTTACAGCTATGGCCCTGAAAGGAATCCTAGCAGCTTCAGTCAATACAGGAGCAGCTGTATTCCGGAGCATTAGGAAAGAACACAGACATCTAAGCCTGATTCTGAGGAACGACCTCTTTCCTCTGCAGTACCCGAAACACTTACCTCCATCCCTTGATTAATTGCTAGTTTGGCCACTCTCATTGCAACAGGCCCCTGAAATCCAAAGTAAAGAAACAAGCTTTAATTAAACTTATATAAATCATCCTCAGATAAGCTAACAACAACTGGGATGCTAGATAGAAACTGATTTTCTGAGCTTTTTGGACTTCACAGAGGCTGTCACTGATCAAACTGGATCTTGATAGCAGCAGGAGGCATGTGTCCTTTAAATGTCCAACACTCCTCAGTAACTGCCCTTCCAAGTGAAGCAGAGGGGAGCACAGGAAGTCTGCCTGGCTCAGCACCACAATAACCAGTAGCAATGCCGAAGCTTGGGCTGGAGATGAACTGGGGCTGTCAGGTTGGGGCTCTGTGCCATCAATTATGTATTCGCTACCTCTCTCCTGCAGCATGGAGAGCTACCTCAGGGACAGGGATTGGCCAGGCGTGTCCTCTCAGCATGGACAGCTGACTGCAGCGATGGTGGGCTGACACAGCTTCTCAGGTGTATCTGGAGGGAAGGACTAGATGTCTTCCCTCTCTGTGAACAACGGCGACATTCACATGCTGTGGAAACTCAGCTGGCATCACCACACTAGCGATGGCCAGACTCTGCAGACACACTGAGTTCTTTGATCATGGCTTACATCTGTCTATAGGATGTAAGTGTCAATTTGATGCTGTATTTCGAATTAAATAGTCTTTTTAGATTAACACACAACACAGTGGGGCTGAGGAGGGGGCTCAGTGAGTGGGTAATGTGCTTCCTGTGAGTTCAGGTCTCCAACACACACAAATGGCAGGTCGGTATGGCAGCCGGCCTGTAATCCCAGAACTTGAGGTGGCAGAAACAGCTAAAAAGCTGGGCAGAAGAGCTGAACTACAAAGCTTGGGGCCCAAGAAAGATCCCTCTTCAACATATAAGGTGGAGAATATTGGAGGAAGATACCAACAGCAAGATACCAATAGCAAGCCCTGGCCCTCACCCGAGTGTGCACATGCGGTCTCCTGACTCAGTGGGATACCGGGTCATTCTACACACTTTCATATGAGGTGGTAGCCCATCTATCACTGTCTCTACAGAGATTATTAGAGTATAAGTTGGTAAACAAGCTAAAACAACATGCTGGGAAGTTACTCTCTGTGTGTGTGTGTGTGTGTGTGTGTGTGTAGGTGTGTAGCAGTATGTCTGTCTCCAGTGCAACCCTCAGATTACCTTCAAATCTTATTTTAACTGCTACACTCAAGAGGCAGGACAGGGCCACCTCAGCTTGTGAGATGGGTGACGCTCTATGCTAGTGTCATGGAGTGGTCTCAGATGGACACAGGTGCTTCACAGGTACCTGAGGTAGAAACTCTCTGGCCAGGTCCAGTGCCTTCCTATAGGCAGCGTCCCCTTCTTGGTTCTGCTCTAACACGTGGCTGATCAAGCCCACAGCTTTGGCTTCTTGACCATCAAGAACTCGTGCAGAGAAGATGAGTTCCTTGGCCAGGGACATCCCGATGGCACGTGGTAATCTCTGCGTCCCTCCTGAAAGTTGGAAGGGAGAGGAACAGCATGTGATGATCTGAAATAATTCCCTCCTAAAAATAAACCAGGGCCAGAGACATCTGTGTACTTCAAGAAAGACTCCAGTGTTCTAAGTTACATAACCAATAACACTGAAGACCTAAGAATGTCATGTCATGGAGTGGCTTGGGCACCTGGACACAGCTGGCATATTCTTCAGGCCAAGGCAGGTCTACAAGGACAGGCCAGTCACTGGCAAAAGTCAATACCATGCCAGGAGACAGCAGCAGACAGCAGGACTACCAGGAATCCACCTACCAGAAACAGTTCCACTGAGCTTCCATTCCAGTCTAGGAAAATTTACCAAATTCTAACAAGTTCTAACAAATTCTAACAAGCAACTTGTGAGAATCCTTGATGGTGTGTGAACTGTACGCTAACTCTAACTCAGCAGGAATGAAAGTAACTATGATGAAAATTGGTTTTGTCCTATACCATTCACTGTTTCTGCAGCCTCTACACTACTGAAGATGCTCATTCACAAACTCACTTATTCACTTGCTCAGTTATTCATTCACAAACTCATTCACTCATTTGCTCATGTATCTACTCTCTCAATTATTCATTCACAAACTCACTTCTTCACTCAGTTGTTCATTCACAAACTCATTCACTCATTTGTTCACGCATCTACTCTCTCAATTATTCATTCACAAATTCACTTCTTCACTGTTGTTCATTCACAAACTCACTTATTCATTTGCTCACTCGCTCACTCACTCACTCACTCACTCACTCACTCACTCACTCACTCACTCATTCACTCACCCCCCTCCTCATTCAGATGCATTCTCTACTGAGGAAGACTGCTCTGCAGTCAGACTACACACTTGCTCTTAGTTCTGTCAGTACCTCAGCAACTCTTCACTTCCAAGAGCAGACACAGGCTAACACATTCCATCCACACACAAATCTACTGCAGCATCTTCTGGGGAAAAGGCTGGGGATAGGAGCCCGATTCCCTGGAGCTACTGCAGCTGCAGATCTTGTGATGAGGGAGCTGTAAGAGTCCTTAACACTGAGCCATCTCTCCAGCCCCAACCAACAACTTTTTAATTCTTGAAAATCATCCCTAACTTGCAGAGTTTCTTGGTAACACTAAGAATTTCCTCCTGAGGCTGGAGCCAGGCCCTGTGGGATGGTGGGAACCTGTCAGCTCTAGTAAGGTCCTGATCCATGCTCACACACTCGTGCTCTGTGGCGCTGAAGATGTGGGACAGCCACACGCTCCGAGTATTGGAAATACCTGCATTGAGTTGAGGCTTATGCCTCTAGGGTGAGCACTGACTAATGAGCCAGAGGAGGGGGCTCTGTCTATTCGGTACTTCCGTGTGATTTCAGCAGATCTCCAACATTCCCACGTCCACTTTACTAAATGCAGCTCCGCCAGTGAGGCATACATCTCACCATGCTGATGTAAGCGTTTCTTACATCATGTAAGCCCAGGAAGTCAAAAACAAAAATTTGAGGGACTAATTTTCTCAAGGATGCACAATGATGACAAACAGCTTCCATATGGGCAGAAACCAGACTCTCTCCATGTTTCTCCTCTGCTATCATCCACACTCTGTGTCGTCCAGTCTCTATGTTAGCTCAGGGGTCCAAACGTGCTGCTGAGGCCTTACCACCATGACTGCAAACCATGGAGTGGGCAGAAAGAAAGGGGAAGAGCCAAAAAGTACTCCATTCGTTGGTGACCTTAATTAAGCACTGGCCAGTAACATCTTCTTGTGACTTTTCCCTGGCTAGGGTTAGTTCCTAAAGCTACAGGGGCTCAGAAATGGGCTCTCCTTGCCATGTGTCTCACAGCATGAGGAACTCAACTGGGCCTCTGTTTCTAGTAGAGTGGAAGTGGGTTGACAATCAGCAGTCACAGACTAAATGGGCAAAGCGGATTTAATAACATCACTTGCATCTCACATTTACGTGTTAAATGAAGAAAGAGGGTGAAAGTATACTGGAATGTCTGACCTGGTATGCACTTTGTGTTACTTAACCTAATGGAAAGCATCAAAAGATCTTGGATAATAGCCTTCTGACGGTAAGCTACATAAAACAGGCAGGGATTCAGGCAGAGCCAGCTTTTGACACAGGAGAAATACAAGGCTAAGGGCAGAAGACAGCAGACAGACACAACTTCCCTTTAGAAAGCTTTGACGTTCATAATCGATTATAGCATAATATGTAAACAACTGAACATAATTTTGGGCCATCCTGTACAAAATGCAAACTGCAGAAAGCACCAAGCTTGATCTGGTTTGTTTGTCCTTCATCTTTCCACCCTCTTGACTTCATGGAAAAAGAATCCGCACGAACAAAAGGGGACGCCTGGCACATAGACTTTCGGTTGACAGCTACACAGGCCATAGGGAGGAATTTTACCTAGAGGATTAGCAGTTATCTGTGACCCCAGGAACTCCTTATAAACCCCCTCTCTTAAGCAGAGCGCTCTGCACTGCAGTAAATGCCCTTTCAGGCAACAGACGCTGAGAGTTGTGTGAGAGGCTCTGGGCCCAGCCTTCTCGGCAGATCAGGGTCCAGTGCTCACACACCTGACTTTATCTCCTTCACAGTATGCAGACAGGCCATGCCACTATCCCACAAAAGCCACAGGGGTATCCAGAGTGTCCCCATGCTCCCCACCCCTCGCTTTTGGTACACTGTAAAGCAGTGGGGGGTGGGCAGCCCGAGACCGGAACATATGAGGAGAAACATCAACTGGCTGAACCCGGAAGGAAGATCTCTGCCCGGCTCTCACTGCCGCCTCACTTAGCAGAAGCTAGACAGTTTAAGGACTGGACAGGAAGGCACAGGTTAGACACTCAATTATCTTCACAAGCTCAATTAAGCAACCGGCAGCAAATTAGGACACTTAATACAGCTTTTTCAGTTCTGGGATTAATTACTAAAGCCTTTTCTTCTAGTGCCCTACACACTGTTAGTGAAAGACATGCTAAAGCTTCACCCACTGCAAACAAAATGATGCCTTTTCAATGTTTCTATGGACTCTTTTTCTTTAGCAAAAAGTATTTGTTCGGATATCACTGTATGTCTTAACTTCTCTTTCTGCGGTTTTGGGGCTCTAATCCAGGACTTTGTTAACTGTGGTTAAGAGCCCTCCCTGCCTCTGAGCTACACCCCTATCTGTAATCAGTCCAGTGCCTCTTAACATTTTAGAAGCACATCACTGCAGAGCAGATGAACAGTCTTCCTTTTAAAAAGCTAAGGGAAGACAGCCAAAGAGCACTCTGACCATCTCCAGCCGCTACCAGCAGCACAGCCACCCTCTGCACTGTGTGCAGTCTGCAGGCTGAACTCCAAGGGGGTCTTGAGAGGATCCAAAGACGAAATGACTGACAGCTCCCAATAGCAGCTTCCCACACAGGCCAAGTGGACTCTGCAAGTCTCCTGTAAGCAGAGACTACCCATCAACACACCATCCCAAGTCAGCTTGATGGTGACGGCAATGGCAACCCAGAGAAGAGGCTGCAGGGAAGAAAGCGTCAACAAGCCCTGTAGCTCTGCATGGCACCAGCGAGCACGCTCAGACCCCCATGCCACCACACTCTCTGTGACCACGTCTACTCTCCCGTGTGGCACTCCTCCATTGCAGCCCCTATTCATACCAACAACATGGAATAGATTATCACAAACACCAAAAGCTGGGTCTCCTTCTGTGACTACCTCCTCTATCTAATAGAACAGGTGCTGTGTGTGTGTAACATGATGTAGTTGTGCGGCTAGAGGGACACAGAGAGAGGCACTCTGATACAGTGGCTTTGCTGGAAATACCATTTTCACATTGACGGTGAGGACCGTCAGCTAACAACTAGCAGGAGCTGTCACACAGCCAAGACATTCCAGGATCTCTGCTTATCACTTTGTTCTGTTTTTCTTACTTTAAAAAAAAAAAAAAAAAAAAAAAAGTGTGTGTAAGTGGACAGAGGCCAGAGAATCCCCTGGAGTTACAGGTGGCTGTGAGCCACCCTCTGGCTGCTGCAAACTGAACCTGGGTCCTCCGCAAGAACAGCAAGCTTATGCTCTTAACCTCTGCGCCATCTCTCCAGCGCCTCCCCACAACACAGAGACATTTCTTATATCATACATGTTGAAAACCAATTATGCAACAGTATTTCCAAAGTCAGCTTGGTGGTAACAGTGTCTTCACCAAGCTCTTTACCAAGAAAAGCTTTCGCCATCCTATGACAGGGTGACAGGGCAGTAGTCAGCTAGTGAGCACTGCGAAGGACCCCACTAATCACAACAACGGCTCCCTCTCACAGGTTCGGGCCCACGAGGCCTATGCCTACTGTCTGCCTGAGCCTCACTGACCAAGGCCTTCACTGCAGGCTTCCTCTGCCTCTGGCTAACATTCTAGGTCCTGCAGCAGTGAGCCAGATGAGATGGCTCCCCTTGGCATGGCATAACTCAGTGGAGCAATTCGAGAGAGACAAGACAGGAGAGGGAAGACACAGTCTTGACCTCTCCGAGGGGTGTCAGTGGCAGCCAGTGGGCAGGAATGGTGCAGACCATGTAGTACACACTGCATCCCTTCCTACATCTCTCTAGAAAGTCATCAGAGCACAGACATTTCTTTCTAATCATCCCCGTCTTTCCAGGTTGAGGAGGAGAGGGACACGGAACAGGTTCATGACTCATCTTCAAAACACAACCAAGTAGTGGGGAGAGAGCAACATGGAAACGCTGCTCTGGACAGCTCATCACAGGGAGTGCACACGGTACCTGCCCTGACAGTGAGGAGTACAAATCAAGAGCCCTTACCCCGCTGGCACTGGAGCTGGAGCTTTCATTCAGTGATGGCCTAAGGGCCTCACACACAGCGGAGCGCCTCTAGTGGCAGATGTGTGCTGTGTCTCAAACCCAACGACCACATACTTTCTTCTCACAAATGTCACCATTACCACCGGCTAGCAAAATATTATTGAGGGGGGGGGAGGACA